AGAAAGAAAGAAAGAAAGAAAGAAAGAAAGAAAGAAAGAAAGAAAGAGAAGGAAGGAAGGAAAGAAGGAAGGAAGGAAGGAAAATAGCATGCTTCAGTCTGTATTCAGGCAGTATCGGTTCTCTCTCTGGAGGCAGACAGAATAGCAACTGAAACATAAAAACAGGTGAGGAAGAAGTCCCATGAGTCCCTTACAGCTCCAGGGTTCTACTATTCATTTAAGTTAACTATAAGCTCATGGAGGGCAGGAGCTACTTATAATAGGTACTTGGCAAACATTAAATACTACAGCTGTATGACCAGCTTGCATTTATAAGAGGCTTTAGGCTTTTTACTTTTTTTTAATCTTTTATATATAAAGTATGATAGCTAGTTTTACACGTACATGCCGTCTCCACTGATGGAATATAAGCTCCTTGAGGTCAGGGACTGCTTCACTGTGTTTGGGACATTGTAGGCACTTAATAAATTATTGACAATTGATGACTGATTGCTTGATAGCGTTTGTTGTCCTTAATAACATTCAAACAACAGAAAACTGAAACCCATATTTTAGCAAACGCAAGAGGTCAAATGAAAAAGAGTGCATCAGGCTCAAAAGACTGAAATCTTCAAAAAACAAAATCTCTTTTTTTGCCACATGCCTAATATTGGAAATATGTTTTGCATGACTTCACATGCATAATCAATATTGCTCGCCTTCTCAATGGGTGGGGAAGGGAGAAAATCTGGATGTCAAAAAAATATTTTTAATGAATGTGAAAAATAAATAAAAATGCTTAGAAAATAAATAAATTAAATTAAAAAACAAAATGGTACATTACATAAGGAGAAATTTTTTAAGAGACCAACTACTTAGATACTAAAGGAATTTCTCTTCAAAATAAATAAAGGAGAAACCTATCATAATGTTGTCCTTTCTTAAACAGACTTAGATGTAGCATGGGTCAAATCATGCCCTCTGAAATAGAATCCCAAAGCCAACTGCAATTTCACCAGCCCTTAACACATATTAGCAATGACTCCACAATCCCAAGTATTGCAGCTGGTCCACCATTTCTAGAACACTCTGCCTTCTCACCTACATCTCTCAAAATTCTGAGTTTTCTTCAAAGTTCAGCTCAAGCACCATCTCCTAAACAATCCTCTGAAGCTGTCGGTACACCCCCTCCAAAATTACTCCCTATTATTTTGCATCTATTTTGTATTTAATTATCCACGTACATATTATTCACCCCTCCCCCACTGGGATATAAGCCCTTTGATGGTAGGAACTTTTAAAAAAAATTTTATATTCCCAGGGCCTGGCACATAGCAGGAACTTAATAAATGATTGTTGATTAATTTTTAATGGTTTCATAAATCCATCTGTCTGTATAAGCTGGTTACACATGGCAAACTACAAGAGGTACCAATAGAACACCCAAACTCCATTGACAAGATTCTTATCAAGACCAAAGGAATTCCTCTTGCTACCATTTTTCAGGCATAAATAACCCCACTTCCTCCCAAGTCTGGGGCAGTTTTCCTGAAGGACAGCCTTGTGAATGCTGGAGGGACATGCAATTGCTGACTGGCTGAGAGACTGCAAAGCTGTGGCTCCACAGACGGCACACACAAGGTAGATGGGACGTTGGAGGGTCGGAAGGCGTCAAGAAAAGCAACCTGGGCTTTCCGAATAGCATCCAAAAGACCTCCCTAAAGTCACCAACATGGAGGCAGCCAGCTGCCAGTGTGTCCCTGGATTCTCAGCCTTTAAAAGCCTGAAAACTGCTAAGAGTGAGCTCTGCTGGGTGAGATCCCCCACCCTCTCCTTGCCTGAGGGGTGATTTTATTGGATTCTCAGCCAAAGAGCCTCTTTATTCTTGTTTTTTTTATTCCACTCTGCAGAAGTGCCCCAATCTCTTTACTTGGATGATAAGGTATACTAGCTTTGGGGACAATCTTCTGCATACCCAGAGTTTAGTGAGAGAGAGGTATGCTGGCAATCAGAGGCTAAGTATAACCCCACCCTTGAAAATAATCAGGGAAAGTGTGATTTATTCCAGCCCCGCAAATATCATACCCCTAGAATACCACTGTTTAAAGCATGGTGGATGGATGTGATTTTAGCCCAATAAGCCTTTCAGAGATGGGAGTTAGGGAGAGATAGCCCAATCACGTGCTCCTGGATCCTGCCTACTCCATCCCCAAAGGCTTCTGGCAGTGATGTGAGCCTTCCCACTGCTCTCCACATAGGCAAAAATCACAGTCTCCCTTAGAGACAGGGTGAGCCAGAACCCAGATCAGATATCTATCCATGCCATATGCAAACCAGATATATCTTTATATCAGATGGACATCCACATATACCTTGTATATGGTAATGAAATAACATCAGAAAGTGTTAACAGTCTTCTTGTTCTGGTACCCCCTCCTCCCTACTCCCCACTGCCATTCTTAAGAAGTCAGTGATTTTACCTGGGATTCAGCAAAATCTAATTTATCAAGCCCATTGGTGTATCTGAATTTGGCTTTCATGACGGTCTGGCGCTTCTGGGTCAAAAGCTGCTGGAACGCTGCAATCAATTCCAGGTAAGATGTAGGAGTCACATAGTTATGTCGTCCCAAGTCTTGCAAGAACCTAAAATAGAGATAGATAACACACCCAGTTGGACTTACTGCCTTTCACAAAGCAAGAGAGAAAATGCTACATATTGGGCATTGATGAGTCATTAAAAAAGCATTTATTAAGCACCTCCTGTGTGCCAAACATTGTGTTATGTGCCAAAGATACAAAAACAAAAATTAAACACTCTTTGCCCAAATCACTTACATTCCATCAATTGAAAGAACATGGGACACATAAAAATAGATGCAAAAGATTCAAAGTAACTGGGGGGGGTCCACTAAAAGTTAGGAGGAATATGTAAAGTATTAAAAGGTGAATTTTCATTTTCTAATTGTGGAACAATGTCTATTTTCTGAAATTCTAAATATATCAACATAATGGGGTTTTAAATGATGCCCATGCGATGTATGTAGGTACAGACCCAAGAGGATGTGTGTCATGAGTTTGCAATGGAAAACATTCAAAATGGCTTTGGGTAGTTTTCCCTCAGCCTAGACATTTTTGCAGTTGCCCGCGTCAGCAGGTTTAAGGGGAATATAACGTGAGATACAAGATTGACAAGAGTTCACAGCAGCGAAGCTACCTCCCCACTCCAGGGAGAAGGGCACAAGCTGATGCTAGCAGAAAACAACACAACTGTAAACCTTAATGTGGGCAATTATCAGCACTAGCTTCAAAAGTCAATAATCAGTCAATAAACATTGATTTAGCGCCTATTAGGTGCCAGGTACTGCTCAAAGGATCTTTTTAAACTAACCAAACCCCATACAGTCACTGGATCATCCACAATCAGACATTCAACCATCATCATCATCATTGTTAGTCACTATAGAATTGTTCTATATCTCATATCTCATTTGAGTCTCATGCCAGCCCAGTGAGGTAGAGACTTCAGGAATTATGACTCCCTCTTTACAGATGAGGACACTGGGGCTAAAGGAAGATAAATAAGAAGCAGCCTTGTACAGCAGAAAGAGCATTGGTTCCGAAGTCAAAGGATCTGGGTTCAAATCCCTGTTCTTCTACTTACTCTATGTGTGCCCTTGGGCAAGTCACTTGAGTTTCTCCATAAGGAAAACACAAGGGTTTGACTAGCTTACCTATAAGATCCCTCCTAGGTGTAGATTGTTGAGCCCACAAGCCTGGCTCTGGGAGAAGTAACAAGGGACATGACTCTGACGACATGAGATTTATATGACATCACAGAGAAATGATGACTTCTCAAGGCAAAAATATGGACTAAAAACTCATGGTCGAGCCTTCTTGTTTCCACCCCACATAAACAGGCTAGATGTGGGGCACTCACTCTGGGAAGTGGTTGGACTTCAAGCAGGATGAGGGTTTTTTTAATTTCCTTCATTTCCCAAAGGACACCAACACAAGAGGGTCACCATTTTAAAAATAGCAATCAAGATCCTAAAAAGATTTGAACAAAGTAACACACACAGACACACACAGACACAGACACACACACACACACACACACACACACACACACACACACACAGAATTCCTCAACCTTTCAAAGGTGAAACATTCGAAACAAAGAATGACTGTCATTTTTCCAAAGATGTTAATGAACCTTGCTGAGAGATCCATAATGGACGTGTGAAAGTGTTTACAGATGGGAACCACTTCTAGTCTCTCGTTTTTGGTGAGCTCCAGGGTCTCCAAGAATTTAACGGCCACACGTTCCAAGGCGTCTTCAGGCCACGGCTGAGAAAGAAAGTCATTGGATGAAATGTAAATATTTCTGTTCTTTTACTATTAGAAGGCACCAATGTCTAAGGTTGTTCACTTTGGCAAGTCATTTATTGAGCACCTACTATGTGCCGGGCTCTGCTCGAGGTACTGGAGATACAAAGACAGAAATGAGACAGTCTGACCTCCAGGAGTTAATACTGCGGCCATGAGGAACAACATACATATAGAAGAATCAATCAATCAACAAGCATTTATGTTTACCATATGCCAGGCGCCAGGCTAGGCACTAGGGATACGGAGGCAAAAATGACAGGGTCTCCTATCAAGGAGCCTACATTCCTCTGGGGAGATATGATATGTACAGAGATAGATAAGTTAATACAAGCTAATTTACACTCTTTGGGGGGATACTTGGACACAGAAATTACAAAATAATTTGCCTCAAAATATTTCTCTGTATGACCATTCTCTCTCTCTCCCAACCCCCTTGAGAGCAGAGACTATTTTGGTTTTGTCTTTGTGTCAGTGGAGCTTCTCACAATACCTAGCACATAGTAGGTATTCAATAAATGCTCACGAATGAATTGCTATTAACCAACTCTTCTGGTACAAATCACAGCAATGGAACCTAACAGAACGAGACCTAGCTCAATTCAATGTTTCTGAGACTTGAGTTCTAGAAGAGGGAAATGCTGGAAGGTCAATGACCAACAATGACAAAATTCTAGGTTTGTTGCAAAAATGAAATACAACCAATCTAGAGACAAACCTGAAACCAGTCAATGGTGCAGCAATTGATGAGGGACGGGAACTGCCTCAAGCGATTGCGAAAAGCATCACCGATGGGACTGAAGGCGACGACAACATGGAGGTTGTCTCGGCATTGATTCACAAAGAAGGCAAACAGGGCCAAGGGACTGAGCTCACCATGCTTGATGCCGGCCTGGGCTGCCGGGCGAACACCCTAAAGAGCGGAAGAAGAGGATGCGGTCACTGAAAATGGAAAGGATTATTTTTTTAATAACTAATCTATTTATTTTCAGTTTTCAACATTCACTTCCATAAAATTTTGAGTTTTAAATTTTCTCCCCTCCCTCTCCTCCCCCCTCCCCAAGACAGCGTGTAATCTGATATAGGCTCTACTTATACACTCATATTAAGCATATTTTCCCATAGCCACGATGTAAAGAGGAATTAGAACTGATGAGAGGAACCACGAGAATGAAGCAATAAGGCAAAGCAAGAAAAGAAAAGGAGAGCAAATAGGATCCCTCCATATGCATTCAGACACCACAGTCCTTTCTCTGGATGTGGATGGCATTTTCCATCATGAATCCTTTGGAGATGTCTTAGATCCTCGCATTGCTGAGAGGAGTCAAATCTATCAAAGTCAGTCATTGCACAACGTGGCTGTTACTGCATATAATGTTCTCCTGGTTCTGCTCATTTCACTCAGAATCAGTTCATACAAGTCTTTCCAGGTTTTTCTGAAATCTGCCTGCTCATCATTTCTTACAACACAATAGTATTCCATTACATTCATATACCACAACTTGTTCAGCCATTCCCCGATTGATGGGCATCCCCTCAATTTCCAATTCTTGGCCACCACAGAAAGAGCTGCTATAAATATTTTTGTACATGTGGGTCCTTTCCCCATTTTTATGATCATTTTGAGATACAGACCTAGAAGTACTATTGCTGGGTCAAAGGGTATGCAGAATTTTATAGCCCTTTGAGCACAGAATGGAAAGGATTATTAAAAGCTGAAATCTGCCTTCAAGGAACATTTTCATCTTTCTTTCTCTAAACACCCTCAGAAATTGGACATTCTCTACGTTTACGTCAGAGATGTGACTTGTTTATGGTCTTAGCTCTCAATGTAATTTCCAGTCCCATGATTCTATGCATCAGTCATGCTACATGCCAGGCATTTTGCTGAGCAACGAGTAGGCAAAGAAAAGCAAATCTGTTTTTTGTTTCCATTGGTGCCCAAAACACTAACAATGGTCAATAAATATAGAAGATAAAATAGAAGAATTTCCAACATGCCCAAGTTGAATTTGTCTTTTACTTATTCAATTCACCCACAACAAAATCATCTGAAGACAATTCACTTAAGTCTAATTTGCCTAAAGACCCATTATGAGGATCTCCCTTGGTGGTCCTAGTGCCTAGCACAGAGTAGGCTACAGAGAAGACCTGGACCTGCAATTTCAGTGGCATCAGGAGCTTGTGGATGAAAAACTTCCCCCACCCACAAAGGTCAGCACCCTCTCTGCACCTTGCATCTCAGACAATCAGAGCACCACCAAGCAGATATCAGAGGCGAGAAGTTAATTCTGCTCTTTCTGACTCTGGGCTGCCTCACATAGTAACTACTTAACAAAACCTGCTGAATTTAAGCCTGCTGATCAGCTCATCTAATTATTCTGCACTTTTGCGTCCTTTCTGACTGGAGGCTGCCCCACTCCCACTTCCTTTTTGGCACTGGCCTGCATGCAGAATCCCCGGATGCTTTTCAGCAGGGAAACTTCACGTTCACCATATCTGACGTCTACCTAAATTTATGACCAAATCAGATTTCTCCATGTAGGCAAATCCTAGATGAATTGAATACCAGGATGTTAAAATTGTATCTTGTTCTGGACCCCTTAATACCCCCTCCCCTACTCCTAGTCAGTATAGTAGGTAGCCATCATAAAGAGACAACAGCAGAAAGTAAGACTGCAAGGGAAACCTAGAAGTCCCACACAAACTGTCCCAAAGATCAAAGGAGGATAACTTACAAATTATAACATATATTAACCAAAAATCACATCTTGGTAATATGTGCTGAATCAGGGTACCCATCCAGATGCTGGCATCAGGGCCTTCTGGTCCTGTGACGTGTAAATCTCAGACAAATTCCAGAAGACCAGCAGATCACAAATGATGCTGATAATTCTGAGATGATGTGGACATGTTAATTTTAAAACTTAACCGACAACTTTGAAATGACTCGGATATGTTAATGAGCTAACCCCACGGTTGGCACAGATAAGAGTCTGTTCCCCCAAAAAACCCTATAAAAAGGAGACCCCAAACTCCTTCCTCCTTCCATCTCCAAAGGGTCCATGCTGCTGAGTGTTCCCAACTCTAATGCATGGTTATGTGAGTGACTCTGTGATTCTGTCCCTCCTCATCCTCTTTCCCATCACTTCTTCCTCGTTCTACCACTTCATCCTACGTCCCCACGCCGTGTGCCTTTGCATCCTTATCAATGCTTGTCTCTGTATCTTCTGTGACCCTACATTCTCTGTGCCTAATTAAAGTGTGATTGCAGCCTCACTTCCGCCTGCTACTGTGGTCTTTCCCAGAAAACACCCAAAGAACCAGGCATGCCTACCTCCATTTCATAATTTCATAAATTATTAATCCAACAGCAACCACAGATGTCACAGGAGCAGAAAGGAGACACGTTCTGGATGGGATTTATGTGGCTCTCACGTGTGCCATCTAGAAGCCCCCCACACTCTACTCCACACCTGCAAGAGTAGGCAGAGTCTCATCGCGACCATGAGCTCACTGTTCCTCATGATTACTCGCTACTTTCTACCCTTAATCTCAGGCGTCTGGGGAATGATCCAGGGGCTGGCTAAGGTTAACACAAAGCTGGGCCCATCACACAGGACTCTAACTCAAAGCTCAGCCTCCACCTACCAGAGACCTTTGCTAATCTGATAGCACCTATATCGCCCTGTATGTCCCTTCTCTATATTTGGCATGTATTTGCATATTTTTATAGAGAGTTGGCAGGAACAGAGAGGAGACAGTCCCTCTGCCCCCTGTACTTATCAGCCCTCATTCCATTCTGGGCACCACAGTTTAAGAAGGGTTGGATTAGCTGGAGAATCTGCAGAGGAAAGCAGATGTGATGGTGAAAGGCCCTCAGACGCAGTGAGTCCACTCCTCTTGAAAGCCTTTGAGAAGAGGCTAGAAGACCGCTTGTCAAGTGCGTCATATGGGCGTTCCTTTCAGGTATGGGTTAGATGAGATGATGGCAGCCGAGGTCCTTCCTTCTCCCAGATTCTGGGCTGTGTGTAACCTGCTACTGCCTATGACAGAACACAAGCTCCTTGAAGGCAGGGGCTTTCATTTTTGTCTAGTTATCCCCAAAGCCTAAGGCAGCCTCTGGCACATGGTAGGTGCTTAAGCAATGCTTGTTCACTGACTGATACCATCTCATTCAGATCAGAGCAGGAGCTCGGTGGAAGCCATTATTCCACATGAATGGTTGGGGCCACTTTGAAGGACGGTATTCATTCCACCAGGGCAGTACTTGCAGGTGTCCAGCATTAGTTTATGATGATATCATAAGATCAAAGGAGCCCAGATGTAGATAAAGGACCTTAGAGACCTCTGAGTCCAGGCCCTTGCCAGGAACCAGTGAAAGCCAACACGCACCACGGGCCATGGGTATCAAAATCTAATAGAAAGGGTGCCACTAATCTGTACAAAAGGATCCCTGCAGGCCGCCTATGACTTAGATTTAAAATGTAATGTCATCCATGTTTTATTGTATTTTTACTTATTCGGTTAAATATGTCCTAAATGCATTTAAATCTGGTTTGGGCCACATGAGAATGCTGTGGGCCACATGCAGCCCACAGGTCACATTTTTGACACCCCTGCCCTAAACTGATCTAGGAGGTTTCAACACTTACCTTTTCTCCTGTGCATATAACCATAAAATAACTGAAATAGACCTTTTTCCATTCATGAGACCTAATAAACAAGGTTAAACAAACGAGATGAATTTTCTACCACAAACAAAATGTCAGACTTAGTATCATGTCTCAGAGTAGAGCTTCTTGATCTAGGTTCCATTCATTTGCTTTTAAAAAATTTTTTGATAACTATTTCAATATAATTATTGAATTCTTAGTAGTCCTATATATTTTATTTTATAGACTTCACCAGGGTATCAAAGGGATTCATGACCTTAAGGTTAAGAAACCCTGTCTTAGGATGACTTTTAAACTAAGTTAAGACTTACAATAAATTCATTTATCCACTTTCCAATTCACAAAATAACTCTCCAGAGACCATATTTCATCAGGATATGAAAACCTGCCATCCATACCTCCATCACTTCCTGTTTTTCATCCGCTGCAAAGATGTTTGGGACTTCTCCAGTGTTGAGTACACTGTCAACATCCTCTAAGAATGCTTCTTCCTTGATCTGCGTGTCTGTGATGAGGAAGACTGTCTTCAAGCCCTTCATTCCTGCACTTCTCAGCAGGTTCTGCAGAACAAAAAGGAACTCAGAAGGCATGATCCAGTAGGAATGTGTGATCAGCCCATGAGTTCCTTCCCTCTACCCTCACCTTCTACCATCAATATGAAGGATCATAGATTTAAAGCTGGAAGGGACCTCAAAGGTCATCTAATCCAATGTCCTCACTTATAGAGGAGGAAACTGAGACCCAGGGAGGCTAAGTGAGCATACCACCACCATCATCATCACCATCATTATCACCATCATCATCAGACCCCAACAGACCTTTCTCAAGGTGAGATACTAGCTCAAATATCATAGCAGCTACACTCTCAGTTATAGAATGGTGACAAGGAAATCAGCTATTATAGATTACTTTGAATTCATTTTTGATTTAATTATAGGATTAAAATCCCTTCTTTAGGAAAAGCTAGCCCTAACAGCTGAGCCAGACTAACATAGATAGTCTCTTGAGTCTAGGTTAGCTATAGACTTAGTGAATAGATAGATTGAGAAGACCTTATCATTTAGTAGCATATAATTTAGAAGAACAAAATAATCATAAGACTATAAGATTTTTCAAAAGGCTAAATTACCCTTTTTAGCAGAAAGGGGGGACTGACCAGAGGCTAAATTCCCCTTTCTAGCAGCTGGAGAAAGGTTAGCCAGAAGTTAAGCTCCTCTTTCCATTCTTAGTGGATAAGTTCCCTTTTTTTTCTTGAGCTAGAGTCCAAGTTGAGTAAAAGACTCTGCTAAGGATGATAGGGGGAAGAGGGGACTGCTAAATACTGACCACAAGTTCCTCTTTCCCAGGACACTTTCTGGTTACAAAAGGCACCACATGCAGGAAAGGACTTCTGGCATAGGATTAAGGAAGTCTGGGAGAAGCTAACTCATCAGATGACCTGCCTTGTTCATTTGAATTATGTTCAAGTTTCTGTCTTTTTTTTTTTTTAATTCCTCTTTCTTTGTTACAAAAATCAGCTCTGTAAATCATTCCTGTTCTCTGACGTCCGAGGAGTCAGGTAACCTGATTTGGTATGCAAATACTAGCTCTACAAATTACATCACAGATGGCTTGGTAACTTTGTCCTCAGTTTCCTTTATATTTCAGATAATTAATTTTTACAGTTGGCATCCCAGATGGGACCTATGAGATTGACTCCAGACCTCCATAAGTGGTCCTTTCCAAGGAATCTCCCTGAGAGCTCTCTGGTCACTGAGGGACTTCTCTAAAGGCCGTCCTGGAGCCTGGGTCTCTCCACAGCCCAGAACCTAAATTCTTCTGAGCTAAGGTAAGCCTCCACTTTGAGGAAGAAACCACCAACACCACCAAATTTTTTACTCTGCATAAATTAAGTGCAAATTTCTAGGATTCTTTCAAGTTTAAGGTAGCCTCCACTATGGAGAAGAAAAAGGGGTTTTTTTTTTAGGGGAAATCCTCCATATTAGCGGGTAAGAAAGGGTATTTTTGTTTTAGAAAAATCTCTTTACCAGAAGATTATACCCTGGCGAAGAAAAGTTTTTAGAGAAAAAAAACCCCTTTAAGAAGTAAAATAGGCATTCCATTTCTCTTTTAAAAGTTCTCTTTGTTTATGTTTTATCAGAAAACCTAGAAAAAGTATGATTCTCTATTAGGAACTTGTTTTAAATAAACTTAAATTTAAAAAAAAGAACAGGAAAGAAAACTTTGCTAAATTGTGTCTGTCTTAAATATGTGTGTGTATGTGTGTGTGTGTGTGTGTACACGCATCTATCTATATACAAAGTGCACTTTAAATAGGTGAACCCAAATAGCAAATTAGACTAAAGCAAATTGACATTGTTACTAAATTACATTTTCTAACTGATAAGGTTAAAAACATTAACACAAACAGTAAACAGAAGAATTAATCTTGGGCTGACAGCAGGACCCCAGTCATAGGACTGTCATAAGTTATATACTTAATAGAAGAGACAGGTAAGACCCTCATTTCAAAATCTCCTAGAGAAAACTTAGAAATTCAAGCCTGATTTAATGTTGCATCAAGTCTTGTTATATGTTCTATGTGTGTCCGTTTTGTGAATGATAGTACTAAGTTTAGGAATGGTGGGTTCCTTGCTTCGGATAGAAAGGGACCTTCTACAGTTAGGAAAATCTTTATGAGAATGGGAAATCTGTGCTGTCTTCTCTGGACTTTGTGCTAATCTATGCTGGCAGGTGCTCCCAAGCATTTGTTTTGTTCTGTGCTTTTTCTTGCAGTCTAATAAGCCAGCGGGAAAAGACTGAAAAAAAAGTAAGACTTTCCAAAAAGAAGTCTTCAGAAAAGACAAGTCTCTCTTTTCTCACTCTGTTTGTTATACTGGCCACCTTGGAAGTTACAGGGATGAAAGACAGATAAAACAATAATAATAATAAAAATAATCAGAGACTAAATTTGTTATTCTCTACTGGAAAATTCTAAACAAAAATTGTCAGATCATTTATTCCATAAAAAGAACTTTAAAATGACTAGAGGTTGAGTTTAAAGCTGTATTTTGAATTTTAAGAACTGTTTTATTAATCATAGAATCTATTCAGGAAAGATTTGGTGAAACAGAAATTCTGTAAAATTCAGAGAAGTATTAAAATAAGAAGAACTTAGGGAATTGGCACAGGGAGAAATCAGAATACAATACCTGTGAATTAAAAAATTTCACAACTCAGAATTGAAAAAGAAACACATTTGCTAAGCCCTAAAGCAGTTTCAATCAGTCAGTCTCTGAGTCTGAAGTTTTGAGAATCACTCTGTGAAACTGGTTTTAACTTTAGTGTAGATTAAAGGTAGTACTTTAAAACTGTACTTAAAGTTGGGACAAATTTATTACAGGAAGGAAGTGTGAATTTTTATTATTGGAAGGCAGAACAGGAAAACTTCAGGCCATCTTCAAATTCCAAAAGAATAGAAGTAAATAGAGTTGGAATTGATTTACCTTTCTGTTGCTTGCTAGTTTTAAGCAACCAAATTGAAGAAACTTGTTTTGAAATCACAAAGCTGCTGAAAGTAGGTGAAATAATAAACTGTAATAAATTGTTGAGGTGAATTAGAAACACAGTCAAACTTGTGTTGAAACCAGTGGAGGTGAAAATAAGTTCAAAATTGTATTTTAGTAGAACTATAATGAGGAAGACTATAATTGGTTAGCGTAAGAATTACTGAAGTTAGGATACAAGAATATAGTATTATAGGAAAATATAGGAGTGAATTAAGTATATACATACCTAATAGAGGGTGCTCAGAATATAAAAGATTAAATTAAAAGGAATATATGGCTTACAAATATTAGTGAAGAAGAAAGAGGAGGAGGAGAGGAATTATTTTGAGACAAAAGAATCTGAAAATTATTTCAGGATGTTTCTTGCCTCATTGTCAAATATAAATTAAAGCATAAGTACATTGACAATATTGCCCCCTGAAATTTGAAATCTCGGCGGCTGAATGATCCTTGTGAAAGTTGAGATTCTTAAATTACTATCATTAGTAATTATACAGCTATATTTCATTTAGGTGAAAAAGTTAAATTAGTGTGATAAGAATATCTGTTAACTGAAAATCACTAGAAAATTAAAGAAGCTGATACAGTATTGGAAAATATGAAAACTTTGAAAAAGGGAGAAGCAATTAGGAATGAAGGACATTCACAGTCAAGAGCACCAAAATGGAAGCTGCTTTTATAGAATGCTATTAAACTATATATTGAGAATGGAAGACATTTTAATATGAAAAAAAAAACTCCAGTATTTCATTTAGAGTGCATGTATAGTAAATGGTAATATCATCTTATTGTTGTGAGAAGACTAGTACAGACCCTTTAAGATAACAATACCTGTGACATTCCTGGGCCATAGTTGGGCTTTGGCCATGAAACAGGTGGATGAATACTTTTCCAGCATAAAAGAGATTAACTTTGATTTAGAGCATTTTTTCACATGACTATAGATATCTGTAATTTCTTCATCTGAAAACTGCCTGTTCATATCCTTTGATCATTTATCAATTGAGGAATGACCTGTATTCTTATAAATTTGACTTAATTCTCTATATATTTTAGAAATGAGGCCCTTATCAGAGACACTGATTGTAAAAATTCTTTCCCAGTTTTCTGTTTCCCTCCTAATCTTTGTTGCACTGGCTTTGTTTGTGCAAAAACTTTTCAATTTAATGTCATCAAAATTATCCATTTTACATTTCATAATGTTCTCTATCTCTTGTTTAGCCATAAATTCTTCTGTTCTCCATAAATCTGACAGGTAAACTATTCCTTGCTCTCCCAATTTGTTTTTAGTATCAGCCTTTATATCTAAATCATGAACCCATTTTGGCTTTATTTTGTTATATGGTGTAAGATTTTAGTCTATGCTTAGTTTTTGCCATACTTTTTTCCAGTTTTCTCAGCAGTTTTTGGCAAATAGTGACTTCTTATCCTAGAAGCTGGGGTCTTTGGGTTTATCAAATAATAGATTACTATAGTCACTGACTACTGTGTCTTGCTTACCTAACCTATTCCACTGATCCACCACTCTTTCTTAGCCAGTACAAGTAGTTTTGATGATTGCTGCTTTATAATACAATTTAAGATCCAGAATGGCTAGGCCACCTTCTCCAGCATTTCTTTTCATTCATTCCCTTGATATTCTGGACCTTTTGTTCTTCCAAATGAATCTTGTTATTATTTTTCTAGCTCTACAAAACAATTTTCGGTAGTTTGATTGGTATGGCACTGAATAAGTAAATTAAGTAGAATTGTCATTTTTATTATATTAGCTTGGCCTACCCATGAGCAGCTGATGTTTTTTCCAATTATTTAGATCTGACTTCATTTGTGTGAAAAGTGTTTTATAATTGTGTTCATACAGTTCCTGGGTTTGTTTCGGCAGGTAGATGCCTAAATATTTTATAATGTCTACAGTAAGTTTCAATGGAATTTCTCTTTCTGTGGGCATTGTTGGTAATCTGTAAGAGGTTAACTTTGAGAAGTTGATAGATGGCTTCTTCTCCAAAGTCATCAATGAGGAACTAGAAGGGACCTTAAACTCTGCAGTTATGTTCAGTAAGTTGTGTATTTGATTGTCACTTATAAAAACTATAGACCTTAAAGAAATTGGAATAAACCATGAATTTGTAAGCAAAAGGGAACCAAAAAAGGATGACAATATTGTAATTCATTGGTTTTTCTGTTTTAAAAAATGCTATAATGAAAAGGCCAAATATTAAGTCTATAAGCAATCTTGAAGATGAATGGGAAACAGACTATAGAAATTAAGCAAGTCAGTGAAAGTAAGAGAAGCATTGGATACAGTAACAAGAATGGTCTACTTCTGAATGGTTTTTATAAAGTGGAAAAAAAAAGATGACAGTTTGAGTAAACAAGTAAGGATGAGAAATGAATGGGGAGGGAATTTAATGAAAGCTGGAGTCTGCTTTGACCCAGTGTGGAGGCAGGGTTTGAAAGAAAAGGGGCTGAAGTTTGGAAAAAAGGAAGCTTAAGAAATGGTTTTGATCTTACTAAGTAAAGAAATTTTTTAAGGGAATTTAGCTATTTTTTTTTTAGAAGTGCCTTAAGGTACTTTGGTAGGGTTAAGTTAGAAAAATAAAAAGGATTGATTTGGCTCTGTGGGGTATTCAAAGAAAAAAAGAAGCAGTTATGGGGACTGAGGGCGTAACTGTAAGTTGGTTTTTCTTTTTTAATATGAATCAACAAAAAATAATGGACCCTTGGGGCAGTCAGGTGTTGTAGTGGATGGAGCACTGGAAGTCAGGAAGACCTGAGTTCAAATCCAGCCTCAGACACTTGACACTTACTAGCTGTGTGACCCTGGGCAAGTCACTTAACCCCAATTGCTTCATAAAAAAACAAAACAAAACAAAACAAAATGGACCCGTGTGACAAATAAGGTTTAGTTATTGCCACTAGTAACTATAAATCAAAAAGTGATTAAGTTGAAACTTTTATAATTTTATTAGAGAATTTCACCAGTCTTTGCATGTACAAGAAGATAATAATTATAATAATAATTTCTAACTCTCAGTGTAGTTGGAGGAATTAAATTATTCTAAAGCAGTTATTATAATGAACAATGTATAATTGTTGATTATTATTATTGGGTTCTGGATTAAATAACATGTCAAAGATATTAACATGGATGATTTTCTAAGAAGGATAAGCTAAGATTTTATGTAACTGAATAGATGAAATTTACTTGAGAAATTGGGTGTTACGTTTAAAAAACAAAACATGACATTCTTTAGACTTCCAGTTTTCTTTTGGAATTCGGACAAATATTAGACATATGATTAGAAATGTGACTCATCTTTTAATTGGGAAAATGTTTTTAAGAACACACTGTTATGTGAAATTTTTCTGAGATATTGTGAAATGCTATTAGTGTAGGCCTTATCACATTTTCCTATTGAATTACTAAAGTGAATGTGATAACAATCTTTGAAAATAAATGGTAATCATGAAGTACTTTTTGCCTTAAATTCTTATAATTTTTGCCTTAAATTCTCATAATTTAATAGGAGGTTTGAAGACCACCACCCCCTACCCCAACCAGAGTTGTCATCTGAATTTGTAACTGTGCTTGGGAAAAAGTTACTTTGAAATGGGTTAAACTGATACCATTTGGCTAAAGTAAGTGTAATATCTTGTGAATTAGCCTCTTAAAATATAGCAAAAAAAAGAAACCTATTAAATATTTAATGAGTTATAGTTTCCTCTAAACTTGCCAACTAAAGGGAATGACTTCAGTCTTACTATTTCTAACTGCCCTATAGCAAGTGGTTCAAGTCATAACTGAGAAACTGAAAACTAAACATTCTTAAAGTACTACAAAGATGGCGGCGTAAAAAGGTAGTCGCTCTCACCTTCCCCTATCAACCTCTGAAAACCCAGAAAATATCACCCCAGAAAAAACCCTGGAACAGCAGAACCAGAAGAATGACAGGGAGCAGCAGTGCAGTAGCCCAGGTAGCTTGAGGGATTAACAGAAAAGGCCCCTCTTACCCTGGGGAAAGGGGAGCAGTACTGAACGGGAGGCATCCCAGCTAGCTGGCATAAAGACTCACTTTAGCACACCAGGAGGAGATCCTGGTGCCTCAGCATTCTCCAGCAAACGGGTTTCCCAGTGCCTCAGTAAAAATAAGGAAAGCAGCACTGCAAGGGGCCCCAGGCAGGTAAACACACTGCAGCTAAAAAAAGCTCTAAAAGGAACTGAAGAAAGCTAAAGGAAAGGAAAAGCAGGCCAACTTTGAATTGCCTGAAAGTTCCAGCCGTGCTGATTCCAGCCCAACACCAGGTAAGCTGCTAGAATCCTACAGCCTCCAATTGCCAACATGAGGCCCCAGCACA